CCCCAGCTTTACTAATTAACCCCAGATCTGTTTATTACATAGATTATTATATCCCAGAATGAATAAATTATAACAGTATCTATTGCACTATAGGGAGCTTTAGCAGGCCCAATATAAACCGGGGATCCAAGCCTTCAAACACAACAGCTCTGAAACAATAGCAGGGATCCACAACATCTTAAACCAGGCTTCCAGTGTGTCAAAGTTCCCAAAGAGCCTCAAAGACCCCAGGAAATGCTAATACTAGAACCACACTTAGAATTCATAAGAGATTGGAAAACCAGCCCCAATGTGTCAGAGTTCAAAGGAATCTCAGGGACCCTAGGCAGTGCTCACACTAGGGGTGGTAGCAAACTAGATAACTAAGAGTAGAAGTTTGAAATCCAGTATATAGAGGGTTAGGGGGAACAGGTTTAGAAAAGAGTTTGATTTTTAGGAGCAAACAGATTCAAATTACAGGACTGCAAACAAAATTTCACCTAGAACAAACAGAATCCCTATTTAGTAAATAGTTCAAATAGATTGGTATTGATTCAGACATGGACATTGTACTAGCATTTAAGCAGTCACAAAAGAGCTAGGATACTTGAACTAATAGACAGAGTTGGCAACATATTACATGTTTGCAGAACAGAGAATATACAACTGATTATACAGAGTTTCATATTACTAGAGATAACCTAATTAATCTTGTTAATAGGTGAAATCATATAGGCATATTGCAAACAGAAACACGCTGAAATCTCAAACTAATAAGCACATAGGATTGAATAGGGTAACAGAGACTAAAGAATGCTTGTTGAGAAAGCAGTAACAGAAAATATGTTGAGGTTGAAATAAACTATAAGACAGAATAAGATAATAGGAACTGAAACATGCCAGTTGACAAAGGTGTAAACATGAATCATAGATCACACAGGAACATGCTGAGGTTTGAAATAAAATAACCACATAAGCACAAGGAACAGAATAGGATAATAGGAGTTAACACATACCAGTTAGGAAGAAAGTAAACAGGAATGTAATGGCAATTTGGATCCAAAGATGTTTACCTTGAAAATGGTAATTACAATTAGATTTGATTGTGTGGATCTAAAAATACGTGATCTATTTTTATGCTAGTTGTTAGGCAATAGATCCTAAGTATGAGACTAGGAAATAAAGTAAGAACTTGAAAATAGTATGTTTAGGAAACCGAGCGGCTGAGAATCGGGGCCTCGAGAATGATTATACGGGGCCTTGAAGTCGAGCTCGCTACTGAGCTATGGACATCCGATGAATGGATAACAGTAGTGAGAGCTTTGATGAAGGCTCTTTACGACCAATAATGAGCAATAAATGAAGAACAATTAATAGAACACAATAAATGTAAGCAATAAATATAAGTATGAAATCAAGAGAATATATTTAAGTTAGAGAGCAGAGAATGTTCTTGTACTAAATGTTGTAAGTGATATTGTATATGCCTTTACAAAATGACCAGGGTCCCCTTTATATACTAGGGGGAATCCCAACATAGTACAAATACATTTATTACAAAGATATATAGCTGGTACAGCCATTTAATGCCACGGTACGGGCTTGAACTAGCCTACTAGACTTGGTCAGCTTTAGTCATGTGCCATGGGAACTTCCCGTTAGTTCATCATGGCCGCTGATTTGCATTGCCTTGCGATCGAGCGTATGGATTCCCTCGGAGTCAGGCCTCAAACCTGGCCTCGAGCCTTCCGAGAACAGACTGCAGGATATCATAACGATCATAAAATCAAGCTCTTCGATTTTAGCCGTATACAGATAGTCCCTGCGTTTCTTAGAATGAAAATAATAAGAAACGGTCTTGAATTCTCGCCTATTCGATACTTACTACCATGGCGTCAGTCTATCAGAGCATTAAATTCCATGACTTAAAAGCTGAGCAGGAGTCGTTGTCAATACGACTATCGAAAAACCCACAAACCGCTACTGGTTCAACCCTTCCGCTTCCCAAACGATGCCCATACGTCCTCTATAAATACCTCAATTGCTTTGTTATTCACACTTTTACAACATCTTCAATCCCATAGAGCTAAGTTCACCATCTCCTACATTTCTCTCCTTTCTGCGCTTCCCTCCTCATTTCCTTTCTCAGAAACCTTTTTATAGCCATGGCTAGGACCTCTAAAATAGTACCTCAGAAAGAGGGCACTACTTCTTCGTCTCGACCATTCAGGGGTAAACCAAAAGTACCCCCAACTGTCGAACAATATACCCCTACTAAATTTGATTTTTGTATCCGATTTTTCCGTCGAGAATCCTCCTACTACACCAGGCCGATGCGAGCACGTGTCTTGGTACATCAGCGTGGCCAATGGGGGCAGCAGTGTTAGTTGAGATTCCTAGACCCACTGAAAGCATAGTAGACCACAAGGGTGGATTTCTTAGTGTATATACATACCCCTTTACTTTAGGTCCCATAGATTCTTCGGACCCTTCTTCTCTGTTGATAGATCCAATAATACTTGACTTCTGTCGTGAGTACCGGGTGATGCTTGGACAAATTTATCCTTCATTTTGGAGGATAGTCTATAAGCTCCAATATTGTTCTAACCAAGTCGAGGGTATGACCTTCACCCTCAATCACTTGATCAGACGATATAGCCCTCGTTTCTTTCGCGATTTGATTAAGCTTCATCCTCAATCTACGAGGAAGTTCTTTTCGAGCATTGATGAGGACAAGGATCGGGGGTGGATAAGCTAGTTTGTTTGAGTGAGGACCTCAAACATAATCCCCTCCAATAGGATGCCATTCCGGGAGGAATGGAATACGCAGCGTAAGTGCCCCTACCTCGAGCATATTTTATTGCCCTTTCATCCTCTTTTGAAAAATGATCTTCTTTTGATTGTGCAGCCACTATTTGGTACCCTAGAACGGTTCAGAACCTATCGGGGTGTATTAGATAGTTGGACTCCAAATTTCCTTATCTTGACCACTCTTGGCGCAATTTGGCCAAAACACGGTGGCAGGATAAGAGCCACGGTATGCTTTTTACCGTTATTTTTACTATGTTCCCTTATGAGTATCCTTTTGTTTGATGCATCATGCTTGTGCAGGCCTCGGGGATGGAGTGTCAATGAGGCCGAGCCCTGCTAGGGAAGAGGACACCTTGAAACCCGGCAAGGGTAAGAAGAGGAAGAAGGACGCCATGGTCTCGACTTTGGCTGTTATG